TGGAATTATGTAATTGGCTGGTGATTTCATTGTTGTCCTTTTTGTGTGTGGAAAGGATTCAGATGGCTGTACTGCCCAGAGGGACCTTGAGCAAGTTGTCTTTGGCATCTACAGCATTAATGCTGAGGGAGGTGATGCCACCACCACTCCAGTTGATGTTGGAATAGTGATTGAGGGTGTTGAAGTGCTTCACGACTTGGGAGACATCGCTTCTGCATGTGCACTCTTAATGGGTGTCATATATGCAATGAACCTGTTATCCTCAGGAACTGAAAACGTTCTTTGAGGTGCTTCAGAAAATCTTCCTCCAGCTGGATGCTACCAGACTCTCAACCAAGGTACAGATGCTTAAAAACAAACTGTATGAGTGAACCAACATTGAGCATTTAAAATTTTGTGGTGTTTAACATAAAGGCCTGCTTTGCACTTGAAACCATTTAATTGAAAAACGCTTGAAAGATTATATACCTTTTTATATAATCTTTGTGTGACACGCACCACTGTTCTGGGTGACATGGCTGGTGATTTCATTGTTGTCCTTTTTTGTGTGTGGAAAGGATTCAGATGGCTGTACTGCCCAGAGGGACCTTGAGCAAGTTGTCTTTGGCATCTACAGCATTAATGCTGAAGGAGGTGATGCCACCACCACTCCAGTTGATGTTGGAATAGTGATTGAGGGTGTTGAAGTGCTTCACGACTTGGGAGACATCGCTTCTGCATGTGCACTCTTAATGGGTGTCATATATGCAATGAACCTGTTATCCTCAGGAACTGAAAACGTTCTTTGAGGTGCTTCAGAAAATCTTCCTCCAGCTGGATGCTACCAGACTCTCAACCAAGGTACAGATGCTTAAAAACAAACTGTATGAGTGAACCAACATTGAGCGTGTGGCGTTTAACATGAAGGCCTGCTTTGCACTTGAAACAATTTAATTGAAAAACACTTGAAAGTTTATATACATTTTTTTTTTTGTGGGACACGCACCACTGTTCTGGGTGACATGTTTCTTTGTCATGTAAAGCGTGTACAGATGCTTAAAAACAAACTGTATGAGTGAACCAACATTGAGCACTTAAAAGTTTGTGGCGTTTAACATAAAGGCCTGCTTTGCACTTGAAACCATTTAATTGAAAAACACTTAAAAGATTATATACCTTTTTTCTTTTTTTGTGTGACACGCACCACTGTTCTGGGTGACATGCATGTAAAGCGTGTCCAGAGTTGTTGTTTTTTTAAAGGTAAAGATAACCAACTTTAAATGCTGCCACTCATGGGTATGTTTAACTGTTTTTTTTTCTCTTTTGTAAAACAATTTGATAAACAGTTGTGTTGTGTTGTTGATAAACTCTTGTGTTGGCGAATAAAGGAACTAACAAATGTTGAGTTGAGTTTACTTAAGTAATTTGTGTGGAACCTGTTGACAAACTAGAGTTAATTCAACCTAACTAGTAAAAATAAAAGTTAGTGAAAGCATTTTATTTTGATTAATTAAGCTTGAATTGAATGTTTTGTTGTAAAATCATTAGTTTACTTTGAATAGACAAATATGTAACATGCAACTTCTAAACAAATTTTGTTAGTCCATATAACATAACTGACTTTAGTTAGTTAAACTCAAACGTCTCTTGTTGAGCAAAAATGAGTGATAATAGTTGGCTTGAGTCAAAAATATTATTTCTCCCTAAAACAACCCCATTAAGTTAGATAACCTTGAAATATTTGTTTTCAACTTTCATAATTAAATTTTGTGGAACCTGTTGACAAGAAAAAATTAATTAAAGTCAAGGTTTAATTTTTTTGAGTGCAACATTAACCATAGCAAGTTTGGAGTCTCTAACTCAAACTCTATAGCGCCACCACTTGTCCAAAGTTGCACTCATGTTTATGCTAATAACTTTTGACCGAAAAGCCTCTGAATGGACACCAAAATTAAAAAATTGTAAGGTTTAGTTTTTTCGTTATTTTTAATTGTCCGTAAAACCTACTTTTTCGAACTCGTCCTAGACGGTTTGTCTGATTTTCACCAAAATTGGGACAGATCATCTTCAGACCATGCTGGCAAAAAGTTATGGAATTCAAGTTGATTCGTCCAACCGTTCTCGAGTAACATGTGAACGAATTCTACGAAAAGCACGCAAAAATGGATCTGAGGCTATATCTCCGCAACGGTTTGGCGTATTGAGACCAAACTTGGTGTGTGTTATAACAAGCATGACCTGAGACTACCTGCAGTGTTTCGGCGCTGTGCCACCTAGCGGTCAGGAGATATGAAAAATGCATACTTTTGCTTATAACTTCTGAATGGTTTGGCCAAAAATCACAAAACCGATTCGGTGCAGCATGCCAAGTTGAATGATACCCAATTTTCCCAGGTCAGCCATTTTGGGCGTCGGCCATTTTGAATTTTATATTAAAATGCTATATTTTACGAACGCATTGACGTATCATTACGAAACTTGGTATGGCTGAAGGAGCCTGAGAAGTTTCGAGCCAGCGCCACCTAGTGGTAAAATTAAATATTCACATGCTTATAACTTTGGGTGTGGTCGACTTATTTTCACGGGAGTCACCTTTTTAGACTTCTGAATCCTTGTCGAGTCCAGCGATACCAAACATGCCAGGTTTTGCCTTATGGTTTGTGCAACATTTTGTGCATTTTAGCACTTATAAAACATTTGCCAATATCTTAGAAACCGTTACTCCGATTGACACGAAACCTCTGTAGGAGATTTGAAATCCTAGCGTGCCGGCTAAATGCTAATGCTCAATTGCCAAAATTTTGATAGTAAGTGGCAAAAAAATGCAAACAAAGTCAGCCATCTGTCATTTTTTTCTCTTCTCAAATATAAACATGTCTATAACTTCTCACATATAGACATGTCTAAATATCTCAAGAAAATTTTATATTTTCACCAAATTTGAAACACATATGTATGGGCACACTTTAAGGACACATCAAAATTTGGTGGGATTGTGCCTCTTGTTGGCGCTATAATTTAACAAAACATGAAATTGCCATTGACTACAATAGAGTATTATGATATAAAATGCTATATTTTACGAATGCATTGGTGTAACATTTTGTGCATTTTAGCACTTATAAAACATTTGCCAATATCTTAGAAACCGTTACTCCGATCGACACGAAACCACCGTAGGAAATTCGAAAACATAGCTTGCCGGCTACACACTAATGCCCAATTGCTAAAATTTTGATACTAAGTGGCAAATAAATGCAAACAAAGTCAGCAATCAGTCAATTTTTCTCTTCTCATATATAAAAATGTCTATAACTCCAAAACAAAATTAGATATTTTCACCAAATTTGACGCACATATGTATGGGCACACTCTAAGGACACATAAAAAAATTGGGTGGGATTGTGCCTCTTGGTGACGCTATAATTGAACAAAACATGAAATTGCCATTGACTACAATAGAGTATTATGATATAAAATGCTATATTTCACAAATGCATTAGTGTACCATTACGAAACTTTGTATGTACCATCGAGACCATGACTTGAAAGTACTCAAATAGTTGAGACAGTGCCACCTTGTGGTCAAAAGTTATAATGAAATTTCAAATAAATGCTAATAGCTTTCTGTGAATTTTGCCTATTGTAATGAGACTGGTATTAATAGATTCCTTGGGTCATGCTGAGAACAGTGATACCAATGTTGCCATAGTCAGCCAAACTTCCTGTCCGTCATTTTGATTTTCTTTAAAATCCTACTTTTTCGAACTCCACCTAGACCGTCGGTACGATTTTCACCAAAATCGAATCATATCATCTTCAGACCATGCTGACAAAATGTTATGGATTTTGTGTCGATAGACAAAACCGTTTTCGCATACCACAGCAACGAATTTGAGGCAAGATGCCAAAATGACATTTGAGGCTGTATCTCTGCAATGCTTTGGCATATTGACACCAAACTTTGTGTGTGCCATTGTCAACTCACACAGAACACACCACATCGATTTGATAACAGCGCCACCTATTGGTCAGACGTGATAAGCCAATAAATCATATTACTAGTGGTTGTATTTATGATTTTTCAGCCATTTTAATTACAATCATCTTAAAATTGCTTTTATTGCTCATTGTTGCATTTGGTCTGATGCTCCATGCCATGCTTACCTCCTCAATTTGCCTCTGGAGTGCTTGGCCCCGTAATTGCTGCTTGCAGCTATATTTCTTTTTGTTTTTGCTCTTCTGATGGTTTTCAGCTTTCTCTTTCTGCAAATTGTACAGTTGTATGGTGTATAGCGATATGTCCCAGCACCCAAAATACTATCGACACTTTAACGCAGCCTCAATTCTTCACAAAAGATGGATAAAAAGGCACACAGGAAACAAAAACCTTGAAAAAAATATATACGAGCCTGCCAAATCACAGAGATACAGATTTGCACGGGACTAATATTATCACAGTGAAATATGGTAGGTAATTTGCGGGGGAATTTTTACTTTACAAATTACAGACATGCCTAATTCACACAGGATTAAGATCACAGACAACCTCCGCAATTATTACAAATGACTAGAGGTCACCAGGTAATACTAATCCCGTGCGAATAGGGCTTAAGACAAATGCACGAGAAGACAAAATAATGCAGAGACTCTCAATGGGGAATTGGTTCAACACTGCAGCTGGAATTGCTTGCCAGTTCAGCACTGATCAGGGTAAGGATCTGTCTCGGCACGTTTAAGAATCAAAAGGCTAGGCTCACCTTTGCAAAGGAACATGTTGTGTGGACAGAGGAGAACGGGTCCAAAGTTAACTTTAGTAATGAGAGCAAGTTTAATTTATTTGGGTCAGATGGGAAACATTTTGTTCGGTGTCAAACTGGGGAAAGACTAAACCCCAAGTGCGTAAAGAAGTCAGTGAAAGGTTGAGGAGGAAGTGGTTTGGGGGATGTTTTTTGCAGCAGGAGTTGGGCCTTTTATACAGCTACATGGCAGAGTGAATGCAAATGTTTATCAGAACCTCCATTACCCTCAGTACAATTAAATTGTCTTCCTCCAGAGTACAATTGCTCACAATTTCTTTACCGAATGACTTTGCAAATGATGTTTCAGGTCCTTATGATATGTGAAACCCTTTTCACACTGAAGACACTTAAAAGGCTTCTCTCCAGTGTGAATACTTATGTGAGTCTGAAGGTTTCCTTTTTGTGAAAAGCTTTTTCCACACTGAGGGCAGGTAAAAGGTTTCTCTCCAGTGTGAACTCTACTGTGAATCTCAAGGTTTGCTTTATTTGTGCAATTCTTTCCACACTGAGGGCAGATGAAAGGCTTCTCTCCAGTATGAAGTCTAATGTGAGCGTTGAGGCTTCTTTTATGCAGGAAACTCTTTCCACACTGATGACATATAAAACAGTCCTCTTTTGAGTGAATCCTCATGTGGTGATTAAGGGTTTCTTTACATTTGAATCTCTTTCCACACTGACCACATATGCAAGGCTTCTCTCCTGTGTGAATGTTCAAGTGAGTCTTAAGACTTTCTTTTCGTGAGAAGCTCTTCCCACACAGTTTGCAGGTGTACGGTTTCTCTCCAGTGTGAATTCTCACGTGGGCATTAAGGTTTCCCTTAAGTTTAAAACTTTGTCCACACAGTTTGCAGGTGTAAGGCTTCTCTCCAGTGTGAACTCTCATGTGGACTTTAAGGTTTTGTTTTTGAGTGAAACACTTTCCACACTGTTGGCAGCTGAAAGGCTTCTCTCCAGAGTGAACTCTCATGTGGACTTCAAGGTTTTGCTTATTAGTTATATTCTTACCACACTGACAGCAGGTAAAATAACTGTTAGATCCGGTCTTCTGACCTCTTTTTTGTGAAGAAATCTCTTCAGTCTTTGAGGATTTTTCTCCACTCTTTAAATCATGACACTTCTCATCCTGATTTTTCTCTTTCATTTCATTCAGTTCATCTTTCTGACTCTCCTCTTTCAGTGCCATCAGATCTAAAGCAAAAAAACAAAAGACATTAAAGCTCTAAAACCAACATAAAGCATCAAGCTACTAAAAGAAAAGTTCTGTCCAAGAGCATCCTCGGCACTGTACGTTTATGTCTCTTTGTCAGGGACAGATTATGGCGCAGTGATGTCCTGGGCACGGACTGATTAAAGGCTCTCCTCAGTTGAAATTTATGTTCCTTTTTTATTCTTAATACTCCCAAACGTACTAATTATATCATGAAACATTTCCATTCTCAAATATTAGTAAATGCATTTTGCCCATTTACAGATTATGTTATTTAATCTATAATGGACAATGAGCAAGTAGCCTACTGTTAGTGCAAACCAATAACTATGCATAAAACTCATCTTTTTACTTGTACCAGATAAGGGTGTCATGTCATAAAATATTTTTAATAAGACTGATTTTGTATTCAATGTGAATTTAATAAAAACATTGTAAGTTACTAATTATAACACTTTCATTGTACAGAAAGAGAGCAAAGAAAATTTACATTATCATTGACTTCAGTCTAGACAGAGTTCAAGCACTCTCAAAACCTCCCGTTATAATCACTGAAGCTGTTTACACTGTAATGTAATTTTTCCATGCCAAATTTTTTTTTATCGCGTTTTCACAATTGCATTTGGTTGTGGTTAGGCTATTTTCAGCGCCATATTTATTCCCTTCCCGCTCGTCAATTGGCAATCACTTAAGTCAAAATTAGTCACCTGTTCCTGTTAACTATGGCAAACATGCCAGGAAAATGTAAATTTCAAGAGCTTTGGTTACAAAATGACCACATCAAAGACTGGGTTTTAAAATTAGAGGACAGAAATGCTAAATGTAAAGTTTGTAAAACTACTATCGAGCTATCAATAGGAGAGGGAGCACTTCGCAGCCACGCAAACAGCAAGAATCATACTACCCGTATGATGCCGACAGGAGCATCATCTTCGGCCCAAGTGCCCATCACTGCTCTACTGCAGCCTCCCCATATAGCTTCAAGAGAACCGCAGTCAGCTAATGAAGCCGCTCCCACCTCCAGCAGTGACAGTAGTGTGGGACACAGTGGAGCACGTCTCCAAGCTTGAACTTTGCTACGCAACGAAATGCGAAATATCTTTGCACGGGCTTGTATTTCCGGTCTGACGCATTCGCATGCGTATGAATGGAAGTCAATGGAATGAAAAGTCTAGTGTGACCGAAGTGGTCGCTGACAGAATTGAAAATGTAACATTAGACAAATTAGGTTGCGAGCTATATTACTGTTAACTCTTGACAAATTCTTAGTCTCTGCAACCAGGATTTAGTCATGTATTTAAACTCATAGATTTGTGTAAAGTAATCATTATTTAATGTTTTAATCAATGTTGTATTACTGATACAACAGGCCCTTGAAATTAAATGAAGCAATTCAATCTAACGTTAGCCTCCAGTCCAACTTTTTTGGTGTCCTATACAGATGCGACGTGACAACACGCGACAAAATACATTTTCCATGGTAATCATTATTTGTCTGTAACCAGCCACGACATGACAAAGGATTCTTTTTTTGAAATGGTTTCTATATTTCTGGGATTTTGCAGCTGATAGTTCAGCCTATACAGAGGGAACAAGGACATAAATGCACAATGACAAGTATTTATTGCTTACAGTTTGAACGTTCTTGTTTCCTTTAATTTCTTTTCAAAATCTGAGGTAAATTATCCATTGCTGCTCTCATAGTGGCTATTTAAGTTTTCCAAAATGATATTCAAGCTCAAATCATTTTAATATTATGCAAAGCTCAAACAAGTGTATTTCAAGACAAAGATTGTATCAGTAATAATGTTCTATGATTTAATTTTGTTTAGTTTAATTTCGTTTGGTTTTCTTGTTTAGCTGCGAACAGAGCCCGCCCACACGCTGTTATGATTGGCTGTGATTTATGATTGATTTTATCGTCTTGTAGCTTTGTCACATCAGGTTAGGACACGGTAAGCTAAAAAAAAAAAAAAGGTCACGGTAAGCCGCCTTTTCACTCCACGACATTAGGATACGACTGTCGCATTTCGCCCCCTAGTGGCAGTAGCACAGAATTTTCCTAATTGGTCTTGCGTACTAGCCCATACCTTTGTTTATTCACCATGGTAGATATAGGAAAAATATTATGGGGTTTCCAGGACTTAAATAATTGATAATTATTAAATAATTATTTCAGACTTGCAATACCAGTCAAAAGTTTTTGGACAGTAAGATTTTTAATGTTTTTTAAAGAAGTCTCTTCTGTTCACCAAGCCTACATTTATTTGATCCAAAGTACAGCAAAACAGTAAAATTTTGAAATATTTTTACTATTTCAAATTTTATTTATTCCTGATTTCAAAGCTGAATTTTTAGCATCATTACTCCAGTCTTCAGTGTCACATGATCCTTCTGAAATCATTCTAATATGCTGATTTGCTGCTCAAAAAACATTTATTATTATTGTTGTTGTTGTTGAAAACAGTAGAATTTTTTCAGGTTACTTTGATGAATAGAAAGTTCAGAAGAACAGCATTTATCTCGAAATCTTTTGTATCATAAATGTCTATACCATCAGTTTTCATCAATTTAAAGCATCCTTGCTAAATAAGTATTAATTTCTATAACTTCTTTCCCCAAAAAAAGCTATTGAATGATATTGTCACATGTATGTTCCCGTTTGTCCTTATTTGGTTTGATTCCGGTTTCCTGTTCTCGTTATTAGTTAATCATTGTTCATTCTGTTCACCCGTTATGTTTCATTATCCCTTTTGTCTCCACTCCATTTAAGCGCTGTGTTCTGATTTTAAGGTCTTGGTCTCGGATTAATGTTATTTTGAATGGTCCAAGTGTGTTGATGTTTATTAAAGTATCTCTACATTTACCCCTTCTCCGTGCGTTTTTGGCTACAACCACGACCCGTGACAGAATCCGAGACCTAAACAAAATAGTAAGCGGCTAAAATAGAAAACCGTTATTTTTAATAGTAAAAATATTTCAAATTTTTATTGTTTTTGATGTACTTTGGATCAAATAAATGCAGGCTTGGAGAGCAGAAGAGACTTCTTTAAAAACATTAAAAATCTTACTGTCCAAAAACTTGTGACTGGTAGTGTAAATAATCATCATAACCATTTTACAGAAATAGCCAAGTGTTTAAAGAACAACATTTTAATGAAAACATATCAATTATTCAAACCTCACGCTCATAGCTTTGATCTTAATAGATCACATTCAGTCGGTTGGTCGCATACAGTCTAGTTGTTCAAGTTAAAATATTTTAACGTATCCACGGCTCAAATCAGATCCGAAAATTCCGCATCCGCAGATGGTCGGCACCTCACGCAGCCCCCGTATGACTCTCCATAGGAAATTAATGACTTCCTGTCTATTGGACGTCGTTTGTCGTGTGAAAAGGCAGCTAAGGTTGCGGTACTCTAGTCCAGTGTTTCCCAACCTTTTTTCTGCCGCAGCACAGTTTTTATATGTAAAAAATCCCATGGCACACCACTAAGCAGTAAAAAAATTAAGAAAGGGGAATTAAACATTGCATCATCAGAGTTGACACTTGCACTTAATTTCTGAAAATCATACTCCAATTGAGTAACAAGGTTTTTGACGACCGAATGACAGAATGTCCATCATTAGAACGGCCGCATCTGAGCCAGTAAATTAATAGCATCACGTTTTCATCAGTTTGCAGGTTATACAGTTTAGCTATATGGGTGTTCAGTTTCTCTGGTTGTTTAATACATTTGGCCAAAATATTTGGCCAAAGTTTTTTGACGACCGAATGACAGAATGTCCATCATTAGAACGGCCATATCTGAGCCAGTAAATTAATAGCATCACGTTTTCATCAGTTTGCAGGTTATACAGTTTAGCTATATGGGTGTTCAGTTTCTCTGGTTGTTTAATACATTTGGCCAAAATATTTGGCCAAGACAATTACTGTAGACAATGCTGCGAATATGGAAGTGGCCGTACAGCAGCTACAGATCAGAAAGCTTGGGTGCTTTGCGCACAGCCTCAACCTTGCTGCACAAAAGGTGTACAACATCCCATCCATCTCCAAGTGGTCTGCAAGAATGAGGGATGCCATTGTATGGATAAAAAGATCACCCATTGTGAAGAACATCTTTGAGGAGAAGCTCTTACTCTTGGGTAAGAAAGAAATTCAGTCATTGTTTCAGTTTTATTCATGCATTAGTTACTATTAATACATGAATGCACTGGTGTTTATTAATGCATATTAATAATTATTCATTTAAATTTATTTCAATTGGCCATTATGTTTCAGGCTTGCCAAGCCATTCCGTTGTCCTGGACGTCAAGACCCGCTGAAACTCCTTGTTGAACAATACCCTGCCATACAAGCTGCCTTCTTGGATGCACGAGCAAAACTAGTTAAATCTACTAGTTCTACTAATGTTTAAGTTCATGAATTGGCTTGGCTGAATCTAGTAGATTCATGTAATGAAGACAAATGTAATGGTAATATACAATATTTACATCATAATTTAATTCATTTCATCAGACTTGAAAAGGTTACAGAGGATGTCTTAAGGAAGGCTGAGGAGTTTGTCAGTGTGATGCGCATTCTATACACATCTACTCTGTGCGTGTCCAGCGACAGGCATGCAACATATGGCCAAATTCGGCCTATCCTTGAAAAGCTGGAGGACCACTTTAGAATTAGGGAGGGAGATTCGCAGTTTGTTGCCGCCATTAAAGAAAAAAAAAGACTACTCATCATCATAATGATGACAATTACATGACATACACAGCTGGCTGTTGCCTATAATAAGAGTGTCGATATGAGTCAGAGTGAGTGATTGATTATTTCATTAAAAAAAAAAAAAAACATACAGGATGATGTGATGGCATTCCTCGAGGAGGCCGCGGCTATGGACCCTCGATTCAAGGCAAAGGTGACAAAGACTGAAATCTGGGATCGAGTAGTCGAGGCAGCAGTGAAGTACTCATTAAATATGAGCAATGTTTACTATGAGATGTTTTTTCTTTAATGTTGAATGAATGTAATAATGTACATGACATTGATTAAGTCATCTCCCTCAGTTGTTGTCAGAAAAGGATGACGAGGTAATGGGAGTGAGGGGTGAGCAACAGATCGAAGATGGAGAAGAGCATGAAGAGGAGCAGGAGGACTTAGTAAGTTCAGTGTTTCCCATTCACCGCCACAGTTTCATAATAAACCGAAGATATATTTATACTTCTCATATAACATAAAAGTTCTTTAACATTGTGTTTCACGCCATTGCTTTGGCAAGTATCCGTCAAACGAATTAAAACCGAAAGCGTAATATGGCTTATCAAGTACACTTTGCGCACGCGATCGGCTCGTGATCCGGTGTTTTCCACGTCTCAGAGTGGCTCCGTTCACAGTGACTGCAGTGAACTCCGTTATTGAATGTGCTGTGAGTTTAGCGCGCATTTTGGAATGCTACGGCCACCAGTTATGCTTTTTCACATTTGCATAATTTTCAACATTTTAATGGGCAAATGTTTACAGAATTTCATTAAATTAGTAATGTTTGAAAACCTGTTTTCACAGAAGCTGGAGTTTTCGCCAAAATAAAAACCCTTGAGCTTTTATTTTGGCGAAAACTTCAGTTGAGCTTTTATTTCAGATAACCAACTTCAGATAAATTATCTCTTGCAACCATGGCCTCAAATTAACAGACGCGCACAGAGAAAATACTGTTCAGGTACAGCAAGCTCACTGTTCGGAAGAAAAATATAAATATTGGGGATCGGGTTTATATGAATGTATTTCGGAAGGGAACTGACTTCACAAAAGTTTCGATGGCATTTTTTCCCTTCTTATCACTGCTGATCCATAAGCGCCACCTGCTGTCAGAGAGTGAATTTGCGTTCTCATTCAGCCTGTCTGTTTTTGTTTCATGCAGGTTTTATCTTTGTATCTTTGTTTGTATCGTGATTAAAATGCAGTGGTTGGTTTTTTGCAAAAACAGTTTCATGGCAAGGAAAAATATTTATGGCCGGTACATTTTCTCAAGTCACCAGCCACTGGCAGCAAGCAGCCTGCTTGCAAGTGTAGAAATTAGGACAAAAGTATTGCAATTTCCCTACTGTAGAGTAAGGTAAAATAATATCCCTGAAAAAAAATAAAATAATTTTCCATTTATTTCACAGTGCAATTGTTTTACAATATATGGCTATTACTGTCATAGGAATAATAATATAAAATTATTATTATTATTATTCTATTCTAATTAGTTTGACTTCCAAATTCACCAGTGAGACTGAGACACTATATCACAACTAAAAAGAGGGTTGAGTCCCCTTTAAATTTCAAGAACAAGTACATTCACCAGCTTTTTTCTTTTAGTTTGCACACTGAACTCTTAATTTTGAACTCTCAAAGCACACCAGATTTATGAATTTAACTTTGAAATGTACAAAATGTTCTTCCGGGGGGGCATGCCCCCGGACCCCCTAGAGGGATCGTATGGAAGCATATAGGTAGCGAAATTCAATTTAAAATGCAATATGCAAAATGGCAATGCAATATTCAAAATGGCAATGTATTTCTGTATTTAAATGTACATTTTCCATTACCCATACGTGCAAAGTTTGTTGCAAAAGTAAAATGAAAATTAAATTATATAATTTACATTTGCCATTTCCAACAGCAGGGGCGGATTTAGTGAATTGGGGGCCCCAGGCAAAATATAGTAATGGGGCCCTATACATTTGCACACATTTTCCTAGATCAACCTTGAGGTTCCATTTTGATTTTACTTTTGCACCAAACTTTGCACGTATGAGTAATGGAAAATGTAAATTTAAATACAGAAATACAATGCCATTTTGAATATTGCATTGCCATTTTGCATATTGCATTTTAAATAGAATTTCGCTACCTATATGCTTCCATAGGATCGAGGACCACCCACCAGTCTCACAAAATCCTGTGGGAAACACTGAAGTTGGATATATTTGTGTGATGCTTGCTGTTCTAACAAGCAAGGAATAAAACGGACTACAATAACATGGTAAATCTTATATTTCAGCTTCCGAAACAAAAAGTCTCTGCACTAGAGGAACTCTTCGCAGAAGAGGACAGAAAGCTGAAGAGACTCCTCATTCAACAACAACACACTACACCGACCCTCCATGAGAAGATAAAGAGTGAAGTGTCAGTCTACAGAGCCTTGCCTTCCATCCCCACGTCCGAAGACCCTGTCCTCTGGTGGTGGGATAAGATAGACACTTTACCTTTTCTCGCACAGCTCTCCGGCATCTACCTGTGTGTTCAGGCTTCCTCAACTCCATGTGAAAGTGTGTTCTCGACAGCCGGGGACACTCTCTGTAAGGAGAGATCACACCTGCTCCCTGAGAAAGTCAATATGTTGATTTTCTTAAATAAAAATGGCCAGAGACGACAAAATTATCTTACATTCTGTTGTGCTCCTACGCACATGGGCTGTTCAGATATGTTGTGCTGTGGTATGCTGAGGAAATCTTTCTCTCTCTTGTCTCTCTCTCTCTCTCTCTCTCTTTTTGAAGGGCCTTTTTATTTTAAAAATGTGCTTTATGTGCCCTTTTCTGTTCTGTTCATTTGTAAACTGCAGTACTAAAGTTCAGCAGTAATAAAGTAACTAGAAATCTTCAACATCTTTTCACATCATGTCTTTTTGCACCAAATTATAGAGTAGTATCGATAAGTACCGGTATCGATAAGCGGTATCAATATCGATAAAATTTAAACGATACCCATCCCTACTAATGAGTGGAATCAGGTGTGTTAGATGAGGGAGACATACAAAATGCACAGTGCTGGGGGTACTCCAGGACAGCATTGAAAACCCCAGTTATAGACCAGTCTCAAATATACCATTAATTTCTAAATATTAGAAAAATTGTGTCCTCTCAACTATGTATTTTGCAGATAAACAGTATTTCAATCAGGATTTAAGTTGCATCGTAGCACATTATTAAAGTTACATTTCTCTTCTATTAAATTACAACATAGACCACAAAATTGTCTTTGGCAGCATGAGAATTATGTTGGCTACTGTGGACAAGTATTAGCATGGTTTAAGTGAGGAGTGTCCAGTCCTGCTCCTTGAACTTGATTAGCATGTTTTGGTGCATTTAATTATCTCTGCCGGCCTTCCAAGAGTGGATTGGACACCCCTTATTTAAGTCCTATACATCTGGCCACTACCACGTTGTTTGTGTAGATGAAGAGACGAGTGCCACAGGACTCAATATTAGTTCCTTTGATCTCTTTCTTCTTGTATATGTCTCCCCAGAGGGACATTATCATTAGTTTTTACTGTTATGATAATGATAGTTCATGTTTCCTTGCAACCTGACAAAACTTCACACTTCTCTATTGATGTAAAATATATGGATAGTCATTTTCTATTAATAAATTCTGCCAAACAGAGATATTAATTATTGGACCAAAAACCTCTTAACATAAGCTGATAGATCTCAATGTATGTATCGCACAGAGAATGAATTACTACTGACAACAGCATTTGTGAAATTCAAATATTCTAACAGTTTGATTTAAACTCTTTTAAGTTGCAGTTATAAAGTTACTCTCCCACTCTGTCACACAAATGCTTTTCAATCTTATTTTTGACTAATGTTAGTCAAGGAGAAGAGGCTTTGATTGTGAACTTTGTGTAATTTGTATGTGAATGCTGTTTTACGTGAATCTTATGACACAAGTTTAGTACAAAGCTTTGTTTACAATAGAAACAATATAGGTTAGTATTTAAATGTTACATCACACCATGGAAACACTTGGATTCATGCCGAATGAGAGAGGTACATTGAGCCCATAAATCTAAAGCATGTCAGTATGTCAATATCTATTATGCTAACAAGAATACATCTTAAAATATAAGGAGCCTTTTATTCAATCAATTCGTTCAAAATGCTTCATTCATTCATTCAGGAATAAAATCAAGCGGCTGTCTATAATAATTGGTCATTGAATAATAATGGGTTTTAAAAGACTCTGATTCATTCAGGAATGATACACCACTATACGCGCCTATGCGAGTCAGTCACACAACGGTTCTGTGACTTTAGTTTAGTTGGCAGAGAAAACAATTTTGTATGCAATCAGTTAGCTGGCCAATACTCAATGTTAATTAAATAAACTCAGTTTATTGTCTAAAACTACCTATGTTCACATAAATTAATAGTGGTCTGCGCTTGTCTACAATACGTCCTCCCCACGCTGCAGTGCATCGCGTAGCTTTGCCACACATTTTTAATAGGTGGTTAGCTATAATAAATCAGACACTTATTATGTTTTTTAAGGACTATTATTATGTTGTAATGTTTGGTTGACCAGTCAGCGGAGAGAGGTGTTTCATTCCCGCCCACAAGTAGAGATCGAAAATTCAAGTTGCTTATTCGTTTTCTATCCCTGAACGTAAAAACGAAAAATGAAGCCGAATTCTTGATTTTTCGTTTTGTTTGAACAAATGAAAAACGAAAAATTTTCTGATTTCAATATTACAATAAAAAACGATTGGACGGAAGTGGACGGAAGATACCCTGATTAATAGGATCTATTGTTTCAATTTAAAAGCGACATCGCACCGACTTTTCGCATTCAGCATGAAAAGGCCTTTGCACAAAAATAATGTTTTTGTTTAGGCTACTTGTGTGTTATTTTTGCTAATTTAACATGTCACATGTTGTAATAACGAATGCCAAACTTGGAAGTAGGAGCTACTCAGGTGCACTTGAAGAGCAGCATTAGTATTTGCCTGGTCATGTGATCTCAACACGTCTGTCCACAAGAGATGAATCACTCAATGTCAAATAGTGAACTCACTTCAGCTTTGAGAATGAAAACTAACCTGTTTGTTCCTCGGTCTCTTCTTGTTTCACTCTGAAGGTTTCTTTAATCTTCATGTCTTCACTCTCCTCTTTAATAGATGGCATCTTTGTAATTGTGTGGATCTCAGTTGCTTCACCAGGAGTTTTTCTGTGTGTTTGGACACTCTGTCATGTTTAAGATGAGATTAACAGAAAGAAATAAACATCCAAACTAAATATCTGGGTGCGTCTCAATCAGTTCAGTAGTCAGCACATTGGCAAGGATGTCAAAGTGATAGTGGTCTTAAATGGTGTGATAAAAAAAAACAACCCTCAAAACTAGCTCTACAAATTCTGAAGGAACACAAATTATGCAAAGACTTAAATGTAGGGAAGGCGATTTCAGAAAAGCTAGCAATAGCAAGCTTGCTTTGAAAGCAAGGTCCCCACCCTCCCTGTATAATCACTCTGCAAAGCCACACCTCCTCCAAAACACATGAACACACTCAGGCTACGTTTACACGACAACGATGTAGTCAAAAAACGAAAAGTTTTTTCCCTTGCGTTTTTAAAAAGTTTCATGTATACACGACATTTTCAAAACGATTCGCGTTTACACATATCCGCGAAAACGGCCAAAAATGCTGCATTACGTATGCCAGGCCAGTAGTTGGCGCTGTCACCTTATTAGTAAACAGTACCTGTAGGGAAGTGACGATTATACGTTGTATATCAGTGGTTCTCAAACCTGTCCTGGAGTACCCCCAGCCCTGCACATTTTGTATGTCTCCCTCATCTATCACACCTGATTCAACTCATCAGTTCATTAGTGGAGACTGCAAGACCTGAAGTGGGTGTGTCAGATACAGGGAGACATACAAAACGTGCAGTGCTGGGGGTACTTCATGGAGAGGTTTGAGAACCGAATATTAACTCATCATTGGACAACCACAATAGTTTTTTTTTCTTTCTATTTTTGTAAAAAAAAATGGTTTAAAGAGTTTATCAATTTATATATTTAGTTTTTTGTAAAAACCTGTATCTCAACTGTAAATCATGTTTTTTTTATAGTCATTTTACAATTTAATGGAATTAATTTTTATTTTTAAATTCATTTTTGCAGGTCTTAAAAAGATCTTGCAGACAGATGTAGCTTTGCACACTGCCAGCATCTAGAATGATTTTGATCAGCATTTTAGTGTTCATAGGAGAGGACTCTCTCAGCTTGTTATATTTTACAGTTTGTCAATTGATAGACGTTTTTGTAGGCTTTGCATATACATGTGCAACCCTCAAAAGCTTGAAACCACAGAGACCCCCACATAATAAATCATAATTTAACCCCATCACACGTTTGTGACTCGTTGTATTTACGCCATTTTGAGCAGCAGGTGTCGTCAGCCTGCGGTGATTCGAGCGATTCGAAACAGTGAATCATTTGGCAAAGCAATTGATTCAATTGACTCGGAGTTCTGAAAAGCTCCGTTTCTCTCATAACTACTTGCCAGTGACCGAATTTGTGTGCATTATAAACTGTTTCACGAAATAGGGAGCGAAAATGAGACGCACCATTTCTGTTACTCAAGTAATACTCGCTTTATTCACCAAAAACGTTAAGAGATATGATATAATTCATTACAATGCTTTATTCAATATTAAATAATTCATTTGCATCGCTTGTAATATCTATAACATTGATTAAACGGTTTGCATGGACTTAAATCGCTTAAATGGTTAAGAATACAAACCTTTCCTCAGCCTAATCACCAAAGATGTAGGAGCGTGGCGCAGTCTTATGACGTCATATCACCAGACCAAATAAAAGTCCTATTCACGCTCTGTTGCCTAAAATCACAAAAGGTCACAAGAAATAAAATCCTCTGACCTAATTTACACTTGCATCCAAATTTAAATACAGTTTGTCCAGTGATGTGCTAAAAAAAAGGTTTAAAAATGATAAAGAGGGTGAAATATTGTCTGGGTCATTTCTGCTATCCACTCACATTTTGACTTCATATTTTTTTGGGGAAAAAAGTACGTTTTTCATGTTTCTAGCATTCTACCAAAATAGTGACATGTTTAACATTTACACATACATATTGGTCAAGCTCATATACATAGTTATCACAAAATGTTAATAATGTAAATGTTAAACAATAATGAACATTTCTTGGATAGTATGCGTCTCATGCCATTATAGTATTTTTGAATCTTGAAACAATAACAAAACAATTATTGATGAATAGAATATGTCTTGCTTATTAAGAACAGGTATTTTTGTGCCCATTTTTGCCAGCAAGATGGTAAATCATCAAAAAAGTTTTGCTCAAAAACATATATATGCTATCACCAGACCAAATAAAAGTCCTATTCACGCTCTGTTGCCTAAAATCACAAAAGGTCACAAGAAATAAAATCCTCTGACCTAATTTACACTTGCATCCAAATTTAAATACAGTTTGTCCAGTGATGTGCTAAAAAAAAGGTTTAAAAATGATAAAGAGGGTGAAATATTGTCTGGGTCATTTCTGCTATCCACTCACATTTTGACTTCATATTTTTTTGGGGAAAAAAGTACGTTTTTCATGTTTCTAGCATTCTACCAAAATAGTGACATGTTTAACGTTTAGAAATACATATTGGTCAAGCTCATATACATAGTTATCACAAAATGTTAATAATGTAAATGTTAAACAATAATGAACATTTCTTGGATAGTATGCGTCTCATGCCATTATAGTATTTTTGAATCTTGAAACAATAACAAAACAATTATTGATGAATAGAATATGTCTTGCTTATTAAGAACAGGTATTTTTGTGCCCATTTTTGCCAGCAAGATGGTAAATCATCAAAAAAGTTTTGCTCAAAAACATATATATGCTGTTAATGCTCCTCACCTCAGAAAATAAGACAAAAGTATGCCAAACATTTAATGTTGCTGTCAAATTATAATTTAAAATGACTTGTCTAACAGGGTGGAACAGAGCATAACAGGGTGGAACACCAGTGTGAACAGGTTCTAACAGTGGATGAGCTTTCCGTCATTGTCCTGCATGGTTTGCCATCTGTAATCTGTGGAAGTGAACCTATATAATATTGTTTCAAAACAAACAAAAAAAAAAAATCCCAGATTTCCTTTGGGGGAGGGACACAAAAAATAGCACAAAAATATGGTTCCTTATCATCTACATTAATGATGATGCCAGGGTAGTGGTCATCATCATATTTCACCATACACCACCTGCCATCATGGTCGATGGTAATGAACTCTGGTCGCCATGAGGTTGTTGGAACCTTTGATTTTAAATTCAATCCCACATCAGCATGAAGGGTTGCCTCCATGAGACTAAGGCATGGACAGTCCATGACTCCCTGCTCTCTTTAGCAGAGACCGGCTATGTCTCTGTACTGGATATTCCCTGGCAAGGTACTCATCACCTGATGGATTTTCATGGTTCCCTTTATGGCAGTTAAGGGGGGCACCTGTAAAAAAAAAGACAATAGACACATGACAAAGACACGAGTTACCATTTTACCATTTGTGTTCAATGTCCAGGACGACAAATCCCAGTACACTCTCTTAAATATGAAGAAAAAGGAAAATATCTGCACACTAATCAAAAAGAAATAACAAAAACTGGGAGATATTTTCAGGCGAGTGTACTCAATACTTTTTATTTGTTGTTCATTTTGTAAGGGTGGTTTCCCTACAGTGGTTCAGGCTGTAGGATTGGCGAATGACTAAAGAAACGTTATCAGCACGATGGGATAAAACTGGAAATTTCTTGTCTGTTACCACCCACTGCCAGTTATACCAACGACGGAAATAAGCGCAGTTAGAATAGCTAAATGTGTGGGAGAGTGTTGCTATTGTGTGACTATATTGTATTGCAATAGGTAGCACTTCAAAGTTAATGTTGAATCAAGTCTAGTTAGCACATAATTTATGGTTTATTAACAGTATTTTGTTATGGTTACACTTGAATTGGTTACAAAATAGATGAAGGATGGTACATGTACATGTACAGTTAAAGGTACCCAGAATGTATGCAAAATATTACCCGAGAGGAAGAAAAAGAGGGAGAGAGGGCAGAGCTCCAAGAAGAGCTCCAACAAAGAAAAGAGGTAGCAAAGGAAAAGAGCCCGAGCTACAGTTACAATCTTCTTTCATCCCTTGCTTGACCATGTGACTAAAAACCAACTGTGAGACATTCAAACGGATCAATCAGCAAGTTACAGCTTCACCCACTGTGCAAAAGGTGTGACAATTAGTAGACCCCCGATGTATACACATGTTGGCCTACAGGCCTTGATCACTATCAGCACCTCTGTGCCTTCAGGAATGCCAAATGGCCGCTTTGTTACTCAAGATAGGTTTGGGACAGGAAAGCAGAAGTCTTTGATCATTTTCAACCCTACACTTGGATCAGTATTCTAAAATGAAAAGCTTTTGAGACACATGTAAGGTTCTGGATAGTAATTATTTAGGTGTAACTACATCCTTCTGAAGAAACTACTAATTATTTGGATCAGTATTCTAAAGTGAAGATCGTGGTAACCCACTAGTAATAATTTAAGTGTTACCAAATCAAGCAAAATTAATTACTAACCAGAATCTTACAAAAACTTCAAAAGTTTACAATGACTTCAGTAATTACTAGTGAGTTATCACGATCTTCACTTTAGAATACGGAAGCAGAGAAGAGAGCAAAACAAAACACCGGTCATGAATTAGTAGTACAAAATGAGGATTTGTAAAGAAAAATGTCTGAGGATTTTGATATAAGCCAAGAGGACACTGGTTTTACTTTGCTGTAAACAAAACTTGTTTCTCGCGAGACTAGCATATTCTCACCGGAGTTTACCGGCTTGAGGGTAAGTAAATCATGGGCTAATTTTCATTTTCGGGTGAACTAACCCTTTAAGAGTCATGTCGCGGGGATATTGTGTTGTCACGATTCTCCCGATTTCAAAACCAGGCATTTCAGAAGAGTAGAAAAGAATAATTCATATTTAAACTGAGGAGTAAGTGTTGAAATTTGATTCTTGCACTATGTTTTATTGCAGAGAAACCTTTCATTTGCATAAACATCAAGAACATTTTGAGTCTCCATTTCATGACACCTTATTATAACAGACAGCACAATTCTTTTTATCATACATATTGTTACACATCAAACATGAATTTAAATTATATATATATACATTTGGTTGTTTAGTTTAAGGAAATTATCAATGCAGATAATTATTGGAGTCATTTAAAAAAGACTTCTCGCTGATAGCAACTGCATCCCTAAACGCAAACATATACTCTAAAAAATGCTGGGTTAAATACAACCCAGTGCTGGGTAAAATAGGGACAAACCCACCAATTGGGTTGTTTTGACCCAGCGGTTGGGTTACTACCCAGAAGGTTGGGTCAACCGCTGGGTCAAAACAGCCCAATTGCTGGGTTTGTCCCTATTTTACCCAGCACTGGGTTGTATTTAACCCAGCATTTTTTAGAGTGTATAATTAATAAACAAAATCATTTCAATCATCACTCCTACTGCGTTTAGGAGTCCTCTTCCTCCAACCTCCACCAGTGTTGTTCTGAACTCATTCACCAGTGCTGTATCCACTGGAACCATCATTCCTCTTAGCAAATGACCAAAACATGATTTCTGGACTACGTTAGATTTCCTGAAGGAGGAATCCTCTAATGCAGGGTTCCTCAAATCTTGTGCTGGAGGAACAATGCGCCGCAGAGTTTAGCTCCAACCCTGATCACACTCAGCTACCTGTGATTTTCTAATGATCCTGAAGACATTTATTAGCATGTTTAGGTATGTTTGATTAGGGTTAGAGCTAAACTCTGCAGGGAAGTGGATCCTGTGGGCCAGATTTGAGGATCCCTGCTCTAATGTAACCTACAGAAGTCAGAGACAGGATTATCAATAGCCGGGTTTCCATCCAAAGTTGCAAACTTAACTTGGGCACAAAATTGGAATATCGCATAAAACATATGTGAATAAGCACCGTTTCCATCCAACAAGTCAAAGGGAAACAATTGTCACTTCCTGATAAACTGGCACTAAATATCACTAAGAAAAGTGTGAGAAGCCATTAAATGTAATAATTTACATCTAAAAAATATTACTTGCTCCTCAGAGCAAGCAAACGAAACACAATAAATGCAGTCATTGCTTTCAGAAATACTTTGACGACCAGTGGTGGGTGTGGGTAGAGTTCGCCAATGCTAAAGTGCCCTGTTGGTCCAGTGTAGGTGCCCCTGGACTGGGATTTCTGCTAAAGGGGGCCCAAAACTTTTAGGCAAATTTGCTTCAAGGCAAAGAATAAAAAGATGAAGAATGGACATAAAATTATTTATTACTTGTGATGAAGAGGATGGAGTCTTGTAGGAATGTCACCTGTTCAGACGAGTATAATCCCACAATTAAATGGCCATGTAAACAGCCTAACCAAAAAAATCATATTAAAGCAGAAAAAAATCAACTTTGGGCCACATTCACCTGTGGTGTGAACGTAGTTTTGATTTCACACAGATACATATTTTCTGGTGCCATTTGAAATTGCTGAGCCATTTAAATCTCTTTCCACAAAAAGAAGAATAGGTTCTCTTTAATACTTGACTTTTCATATGTATCTGCAAGTGTGATGGCTAAATAATAATGTTTTGTTACTCTGATCACAATTAAAAAACCTTCCTCCAGAGTGAATGTGCTGGTGATCTTTGAAATTGCTCCTTTTCGTAAACATCTGGTCAAACTCAGAACATTGTATTTTTTTGTCCAGAATGAGTTTGCGAATGATCTTTCAGGTCTCTATTATTTGTGAAACTCTTTTCACACTGAAGACATTTGTAAGGTCTCTCCCCAGTGTGAAGCCTCGTGTGAACCTCAAGATTTCCTTTAAGCGCAAAACTTTTTCCACACTGAAGGCAAGTGAAAGGCTTCTCTCCGGTGTGAAGCCTCAAGTGAATGTTAAGGTTACCTTTTAGTGTGAAACACTTTCCACACTGAAGGCAGGTGAAAGGCTTCTCTCCAGTGTGAACTCTTCTATGAGCCTCAAGGTTTCCTTTGTTTTCGCAGTTTTTTCCACACTCATGGCACATGAAAGGCTTCTCTCCAATGTGAATTTTTACATGATTCTTCAAATGTTTCTTGTCTGTGAAACTCCTTCCACACTGATGACATATAAAACGGTTCTCTCTTGAGTGAATCCTCGTATGTTTATTAAGGGCTACTGTAAATTTGAAAGTCTTTCCACACTGGCCACAAACAAACGGCTTCTCTCTGGTGTGAGTTTTCCTGTGGTCATTAAGGGCTCCTTTCTGTTTAAAACTCTTTCCACACTGTTGGCATGTGAAAGGTGTCTCTCCAGTATGAATTATCATGTGGCGTTTAAGGCTTCCTTTTTGAGTGAAACATTTTCCACACTGTTGGCAGGTGAATGGGCTTTCTCTAGTGTGAATTCTCATATGGACTTTCAGGTTTCCATTTCGACTGAAACTTTTTCCACACTGTTGGCAGGTGAAGGGGCTTTCTCCAGTGTGAACTCTCATGTGGACTTTAAAACTTCCTTTTTGAGTGAAACTCCTTCCACAATGCTGGCAAATATAAGGCTTCTCTCCTGTGTGAATTCTCATGTGGACTTTAAGGTTTCTATGTTGATTAAAACTCTTCCCACACTGTTGGCAGGTGAAATTATATTTAATTGTAGTCATTTGAGCTCTTTTTCGAGTAGTCTTTTCAGTCTGTGAGCAACTTAAAGATTTTTCTCCAGTCATGTAATCATGATGTTTCTCATACTGATTTTTATCTTCCTTTTGATTCAGTTCTTGACTCTCTTCTTTCAGTACCACCAGGTCTATAGCAAAAAAAAAAAAAGGTCGATAACCAGAGTTTAATGGCACAAAACAACATATCTCCAAACATTTACACTTGTAAAGTACTAAACCAACAACAGGTATGCTAGATGCTTTGTAAGATGCCTCATCATACACAAGCATTGAGTACCACAGGGCTCAGTATTAGGTCCTGTGCTTTTCTCCTTGAGGGAAAATATCATTAGATTTAACTGTTATGCCAATGATACTTTTATATTCCCTCCACACTTGATACACTCCAAGTTGGCAGAGTGTTTTAATTAAGAAGATATTTATCAAAAATGGGATGGCTAGTAATTTTCTTCTATTAAATTTAGGCAAGTCAGAGGTATTAAATATTGATACAAATACCACAACAAATGAGATTCTAGACCTTGATGTTTGTACTGTTGTAAGGTTTTTATAGATATGAACTTATGTGTTGTGTTTCAGCAGCCAGTCCTTTGATATTCACATTTACAACATTTGTAAAACAATCTTCTTCCACCTTTAAAATATTGCAGGGTCAATAAATTAGCTCTACACTTATTACCTGTTTCCTATCAATTTTAAAATTATGCCAAGTACACACAAAGCTTTGAATGGCCTAGCTCAGGGTTGACCAATCCTGTTCCTGGAGCTCTACCAACCTGCAGAGTTCACTTCCAACCCTGATCAAACACACCTGTCTGTATATGGGCCATTCTACAGAATTGGTCCAAACTGCTGTCCACAACTAAAAACACATTTAAAAAGCTTTTAATTATTCAAATCTTAGATGTTTACTAAGATCAATTCAGAAGACGGGAAATAAAGTGCGCGCATCCGTAATAAAACGTCCCTCACATGGCTCCGGGGGGTGAATAAAGGCCTCCTGTAGCAAATCCATGCGTTTTTGTAAAAAAAATATCTATATTTCAAATGTAATAAAACACTTTTCTATCACTTCAGCTATCTGTCATACGCGGAAGGCTTTCAGGCGGATGACATAGTACGTCGGCGTTGCATGATTAGTGACGAGCGCGGAGAGAGAACAAAACCAATCGCCGTTCACGAATTAAAAGCACAAAACGAGGATTTGTAAAGAAAAAATGTCGGAGGATTTCGATATAAGCCGAGAGGAGACTGGTTTTCCTTTGCTAAAGTAAGGAAACTTTGTTTCCTTTGCTCCTGCATTTCTCAGAGGCGCACGCACGACACATATATCCTAAAACAAACAAACAAAAAACACCTACTATAGGGCTCAAAACAGAACTTTAATCAAATATAAAAGTAAATAAATCAATTGTAATTATATTGTATTATTTACAAATTACAATTGTAGCACTAGACAGTTACCTATGGCTATTATTTTATTAATACAGTTGTCTGATTGATTTTAGTCTCAAGCATTCAGAAATCACGCAAAAGAAAACTAAGCAGTTTTACTACGATAAAACCATGGTTAATTTTTTGTTAGGGTTGTGATGTCCAGGGCCGCATTAACCACTGGGCTAGGAGGGGCTGAAGCCCCGGGGCCAGAGCAAGGAGGGGGCCCGTGATTGGCTGTGGAGTAGCTTGACGGACATCGGTAGGGTTGAGAAATTAATTTTGCGCGTCATGATGTAAGCTTTTCATTTAAATGCATTTTAAGCATTTTGGTTTAAAAACTAATTTAACTGTTCAGGGACATTAAGCAGTGGGGCAGGATTCATTTTGGCAAATGCGCGCGTTAAAAACAGTTTCTGATACGTGCGGAGCGCACTTGCTCGTACAGCGCCTGACTAAACCAAGAGTTATTTTTCACGCCTTGTGTTTAAACGTTCGAATACACATAGTTGTGTGTCAAAATGCCTGTCTCCTTGTCAACACAGTCATTTGTGACTTAAATGAACGTTAAAGGGGTCATATGATGCTGCTAAAAAGAACATTGTTTTGTGTATTTGGTGTAATGAAATGTGTTTATGCGGTTTAGGGTTCAAAAACACATTATTTTCCACATACTGTACATTATTGTTTCTCCTCTATGCCCCGCCTTTCTGAAACGCGTTGATTTTTACAAAGCTCATCGGTCTGAAAAAGTGAGGTGTGCTGTGATTGGCCAGCTATCCAGTGCGTTGTGATTGGCCGAATACCTCAAGCGTGTGACGGAAATGTTACGCCCCTACCATACTGTGATGCCCTGTCCGGCCGGAGCGACGAGACAAAAACATTAAAACCCATTATGAACGAGGCATTTGTTGCATCCAGTGGGGACATAATTACGGATTATAATGACTTATAGTGTCTTTTTAGGTCTGATTTTATAGTTTACAAAGAAGTATTATCTTAATACTTCTTTGTAAACTATTACACTGAAAAAAATTATACTAATTTCTTTCAAGTAAATGGTTGCAATTATAAATTGTTTATTTATATGTAGCTAAAATAAATTGATTGCAACCACTTACCTTAAAGAAAATTAGTAAATTCAATTAATCATTTTTTCAGTGTATTTGAATTAACAAAACCATGGTTAATTTGTGGTTACCATCCATGGCTAATAAGAACCATGAATTTTTTTTTTTTTTTTTTTCCCTATTTAAAAAAGTTTTAATTCTCAATTGAAAACTAAAATGCATAGTTTCAGCCAAGCATACATGTAATCTCATTCATAACTCATGGCTATGCTGCATTAGTCAAGTCTGCTGGAACCAACAACACCACTTTTGTTCCATTTCTCTGATTTAAATCCAAACTATGTAACTGATACAGTGAGATCCAGTCAGATGAGTAGCCTAATATATATGTCAGAGATCAATTTTCAAATAAGGAAAAACAAATTTATTAAATAAAAAATATTTATTATTTAATACAATAAAAGAATAAATTAAATATGAAAATTATAATAGGAAGTAGGTTTAAACTAAATTAAAATCTCTTATACAATAATTTATAATATGCGATAAGACGATCGGGTGTGTCGAAAGACGATGAGCATGTATCGAAGATATCCAGAGATATTGTCAAAAGCATTAAATAATGTCAGTATTAAGAGTATTTGGCATTTCCAATGAATGTAGGCCTTGTTACATTCTTATTATTATTATTAGGGCTATTATTATTATTAGGTTACTTTTTTATTAAATGAATATTAAATTCATTCATAAAATTAATTTGCTTCGCAATAAATGTCATAGCGCATCACCGCATAACTGACGCGCTGTGAGGATAATAAAAAATTAGGCTATAGCTTACGCTAATTGAAAATGTTTTTAAAAATGTCTTTTAAAACAGGTCTATTATAGCCTACACAATGAATTATAGGCTTATAATTAAAATTGTTAACACTGGCCATCAATGAAAATTAATAGCAGCTTTATTTCAAGCACCGACTTTCAAAAACAACCCGTTTAACACAAAATACGTTTCTTCTTATTTTTTTCACTAGCCTATGTTCGGGCCACAAAAGAAATTAAGAAAAATGAAAACTAATTAAATAATTATATGCTGTTATCAGCATATTAAGTAGTTTAGTCTCTCGTAGTCTCTGAGAGAATATGCGCCGTTAATGCGCCATCAGTTTTCACTTACTGGTGAAAGTCGTTCACCGGCATAAGTCTTGCGCAAACTTTGCACGTTGCTTGTATGATATCCATTGGCTCGCCTTAATGGTTTAAAGCAGAAATATTTCCAATATCGCAACATACCCACCCTTCCGTGCATGTTTACCTCATATTCGTAAATAAAAGAAAGCAGGTTACTACTATATGCAGTCTTGAGGACAACAATTGAACCTCAAACCATAAAGGGGGAAGATGATAGTACCTGTAGTAAAACAAGAATCAACATGGTTTGCATAGCATCATATTTGTTGCGTACTGAGAAACAACAAAAAGAAAAACAATAGTAATGTTGGTTAAAATGCCAAACTCTAAGTTACTACTTTGATCTATTTGCCAATAGCCTTGCCAAGTTATAGTTTGCACCTTATCTGACATAAACAGCAATTGTTAGGGCTAATGTCAGCATTGCCAAACTTTGTACCTACTATACTGTCCTCGCTTAAGAAAACAGTCAGATGGTGAGAGTGGAAGGGTGATCCAGTGGGATTGTGATTTGCTGTTGATTTGCAGTCTCTTTTTATCTATAGGCCTTACACATTTGTCAATTATCCCCACTTGATATTTGGGGAATGAACCAAGCATTATGATTGGTCAAACTCTTCTTTTGTTGTTGCTTGATTTGAGTACTGCACATGCACATGCACCATGTTTTTGCATAGTTTAGAGTGACGTATCAGCGTACTTTGGGGGCAAAATGCATACAGGTTCACAACACGCATTGTTTCAAAGCAGCTTTACAGAAGGTCTAAACAGAACATGTTTTAGGCCAAGTTTTTGATCTATAAATAACAATGATTAAAAAATTATCCTAGATTATGATTATCTAGTAGATATATCAGTGGTACTGTTTTTTATTGAGCAAGACTGCATGTGATTACCATCATCAGAGAGATGGAGAGAAACTGCGATGGTATGGCAGAACAACAAAAATAATTACCTCGCAACAATGTTGCCGAGAATTTGTAAAGCAGCAGGCACCTCCAAGATTTACACAAATCACTGTCTTTGCAGCACCATGGTGCAGAGATTGTCTGATGCAGTTCTCGATTCGAGAGGACATAAGTGTGAAATCACACTACACAGCTACAGTACTGGAGGCCCAACTTAAATCAAAAGGGCCTTTCGCACCGCTCCATTCGCACAGACAGTGTGTACTAAGAAGTGACGTAAGCCGGTCGATTAAGCGTTTGACCAATCAATGTCTACTTACGTCACGATTAGTACCAGTTGTGCCGGTTAGACCCTGCTCCGGAGTAGGAGCTAATTTGGTTCTCGAAAAAGGCAGTCCGGTACTAAAATCGCACCCAGTTCCGGCGGTGCGAAAACACCAAAAAGTGGGTAGTTCCACAATTAGTTCTGGTACTATGAAAAGGTTCCCGCGGTGCGAAAGGCCCTAAAGAAAGTGCTTGAGCAACATCCTTGCTGCATCAGAAAACACTGCTGAGCCTCAACCAAAGAGAACCGCGTCGAATATCACCACAGTGGAGCCGTTTGAAATGAGACAAATTTTTTATGCGTGCACAATAAACTGAAATGTTCAAATCAATGTAAATAAGTAAGCAATAATGTACGAGATGCCGTGCTATAGCTACTGTTAATAAGTTATGGCTGAAGGGTGTTGTTAGGCACAACGCGAAATGGGAGTAAAAAATAAATAGTAAGTAATAAATTAATAACATGACATTACACATTTCATTAAATGTTTATAAAATAATTATTAAATGTGCCCTTGTGTTTCATGTTGTTGTATCCATTTTATAAACCATTTATAACCATAAATCACTTTGCAATAACGTATATTTATAAGCGCAGAGAATAACGCAATAGTTAATAATATTTTCTTGTGCCGAGAAATAAGCACCTGTATTTGTGTGAAAAAAATCACCTATTGTTTTTAATAAAATAATAATAATAATGATACAGCGTATGAAAAATGACAGTGTATGAGAACGGTTCCTGGCCTGAGCCATTTGAGCTCCATGGGATGATGCAAATTATACGCAAGGAATAATTGATGACGGGCCGTTGAATTCTTAGAAAATAATGCACACCCGAGGTGGTGATGCGACCACGATGCGAAGCGGAGCTGTTCTGTGTTAGCTGCACCACGCGGATACGTTGTATTCGTTCAAATCAAAATACGTTGTTTACGTTCAGTGGATACTCTCCAAAATGGCGCTAGGGTGACGCAGAGGAAACGAATTGTTGAATAAAGTCGTTAATTTTGTTTTCTTTGCGTACAAAAAGTAATGTCGTAGCTTCGTACAATTACGGTTGAACCCCTGATGTCACATGGATTATTTTACCGATCTTGATACGTTTCTGGACCTTGATCGTGGTAATTACATGGCTGTCTATGGGAGGGTCAGAGAGCTCTCAGAATTCATCAAAAATATCTTAATTTGTGTTCCGAGCAGTCTCAGTCTCTCTCTGTGTGTGTAAATATGTATATGTATACGTATATACAGTAGACAACATTTGAAGTGGATCAAAACCTTTCATCAAAGTTGTCCTAAAACCAAAACAATACCTGTTCTTGTCTTAGGACAACTTTGATTAACTTTTTTGATCCACTTCAAATGTTGACTACTGTATATATATGTGTGTGTGTGTGCGTGTGTGTAAAATAAATCTGCATCATTGATCTTTTTGATCTTTCATTCCAAAAATTCATAAAAATTCTAACCTTTCATTGAAGTAAAAGAATTTAAAGTGGGGAGAATATCTCCTGATGAAACAAATGTTTTTTTTCCTTTAATGCATGTTGGCCACAATTATTGGCACCCCTACAAATTCTTATGAGTAAAATATCTCTGAAGTGTATTCCCATTCATATTTACATTTTTAGCACACCAGGGTGATTAGGAGCATGAAATTGTCCAGCCATGACTTCCTGTTCCACAGGATTATAAATATTAGGAACACTAGTGAGGAGGAGAGTTTGAGTGGCCAAAGACTCTCTGAGGATCACAGCTCAGAGCACAGGGTCAGATATATATATCAAGGGTTTCAAGAAAAATTCTCCTTGCTCATCCAAAAACAATCTCCAGCATATTCAGTTATCAGACACGACTGGAACTTCAAATGGCACTGGCTTCTGTGGTCAGATGAAACTAAAAAAAAAGAGCTTTTAGGCAGCAAACCCACTAGATGGGTTTAGTACAACCGGATAAAAAGAACCCCATGGTTATATAGGCTACTGCTGTATCTTTAATGTTGTGGGCCTGTTTTTCTGCCGGAGGTCCTGTACATGTTGTTCAGATGCATGGCATCATGGATTCAATCAAATACCAACAGATTAAAAATCTAAACCTGACTGCCTCTGTAAGAAATCTTATAATGGACCGTGGTTGGATCTTCCATCAGGACAATAATCCAAAACAAACATCAAAATCAACACAAAAATGGGTCACTGAGCACAAAATGAAGCTTCTGCCCTGACCAACCCAGTTCCCTGAGCTGAACCCTATAGAAAATGAGTGAACTGAAGAGAAGAAGCTTTGAATCTTAAGTATCTGGAGAGATTCTGTATGAAGGAATGGTCTCTGATCTCTTGTCCTCTTCATCTTGGGAAAAGGATGGTGCACTAATTGGGTGCCAAAAATTGTGGCCAACATGAACTAGAGAAAGCATTTATTTCACAATGAGATTTTCCCCTCACTTTCAATTGTTTTACTTCAATGATAGATTAGAACTGTGTGATTTTTTTTGAATGAAAGATCAAAAGGATAAACAATGCAGATTAATTTTCACAGCTGCCTTTGCTCATATTTACCAAAGGTGTCAATATTAGTGGAGGGCACTGTATATGTATATGAACATAATTAAAGCATTTACAGATGACTGTCCCACTGATGGTTTTCAAACTTTGTTCCTTTAAAAGTTAATGTTTCCAGAAGTAAATGGCACAGATGTTTTTCAATCATTCTATCTGGAAACAAAATGTTGGTTTAAAACAGCAGTTTGATAAAGCAAGCATTTTTAGGAAGATAAGTAAAAGAATCATGTACAGCAACAAATATAAAGTTGATTCACATTTCATGACTTGCTTTATTCAAAATAAATATTTTTGTTAGAAAAGAGTTGCATAATAGTCACAGAAATTAATTGCTTTCATTGTTAAAGGTTTATAAGTAAATAGTCATTTAAAAGTAGTTAAAAATAATTTTGTTTAAGCTACTTCAATATTATTTTTTTCTCATTTTAAGTGTGACACGTACATAAAAACGAATGCACAATGTCCATGTCAAATAAAAGTGCTTTAAGACACTCATATGACATTCTTCAAAAATATCATTCATTTCTGTAGAGATTTAGACATGTGCAAAAGTTGTTTAGACATGTCTCACAAGACATCTGTAGACATTTGAATAAGGATCATTCAGCTTTGAGAATGAAAACTGACCTGTTTGTTCCTCAGTATCTTCTTGTTTGACTCTGAATGTTTCTTCAATCCTCACGTCTTCACTCTCCTCTTTAATAAACGCCATCTTTATAAAAGTGTGTCACGTGGATCTCAGTTGCTTCACCAGGAGTTGATGAGTTTAAGATGAGAATAATTAAGAGAAAGAAAAATAAATACAAACTAAATCTCTGGATGCGTGTCAATCAGCTCACAAGTCACTGGGAGTCAGAGTGAGAGTTAATGGTCTTAAATGGTCTCATTGAAATCAAGACTTGCACTAAAAATGTAGTTTGTACACACACACACACACACACATACATACATACATACACACACACACACACTACGTGAATATAGGACTTTAATTTAGTATTCAATGATTTGTAGATTACACTTTAATGAAAACCTTTGCTATTGGTTTAAATTGTCATTATACGTTTGTGTTTTTTTCTGTCGTTGCATTTACACCGTTTTGATTAGCAGGTGTCTAAAGCGTGCAGCGATTCGAGCGATTCGAATCCGTGAATCATTTTGAGAAGCAATTGGTTCAATTGACTCGTAATTTCAAAAAGCTCCGTTTCTCCATCAACTTGGAGAAAGGGTAGTAATAGTAAAAACTGACTCACGATATAGAGAGCGGAAATGAGATGTGGATGCGCTATACTCACAAAACATAACGTTAGATAAACCATTACTATTCTGCATTCACTGCATTCATAATTCATTTTGCATCGTAAAAAAATAGACAAAAAAAGTTGGCATCGATTTAAATACTGTAAATGCTTAAAGGGTCATGAAACCCTAAAACAAACCTTTCTTCAGCGAAATCACAACAGATGCTGGAGAACGGCGCGGCCCTATGACTCCATATCGCAAAACCAAAATAAAAGTCGTGTTCACACGTTCTTCTTCTTTTGATTTAATGGCGAGTTGCGAACCAACTTCAAAGGTGCATATCGCCACCTACTGTGATGGAGTGTGAAAACAATGACCAAACCCTCCTATATCCTGTTATATAACCCACTATTCTTAATAAATCTCATGACTGCATGTATTTGTTTTCCTGAATTTGGAC